CGGGTTTAAATTAGTAGTAGAATTCCTCTCCTGCAGAAGTTCCACCTGACATGCGAACATATCTTTGTGATATTTAAATAAATGTATAAGTTGGATAATAGTGATTAGTGTAGCTAATCTTATAATAATATAGGCATTAGGCAGTGTTAATCTGCAGATTAATTTGTAGAGACATAAAGGGTATTCATATACCAATCGATTTCCAGTTAATTTGTAGAGACACTTGGTGTCTGCTTGGATATATAATGTATCAATAAAGATCATGCACCTTGCATATGTTCTACTATAAAAAAAAAAAAAACAAGATACAATATCAATAGCATAACATATATTCCTCTTTGCTAGGAAAAGTTTAATGCAAGGCTTTTATAAAAGGTTTAACTCCTATACTCTTTTGATTTCTTTCAAGAAATATAAAAAAAAAGAAATTTACAATTCTATATTATTGCTTTGAATGATATCTAGCTACCTAAAAATAAATAAATATCTAATCATATGAAAATGTTGCAGTCAATCTATACAGGTTGGCCTCTAAGTTATAATTAGGATTAGCATACCTACTTTCCAAATATGACTTGATATATGGCTAAAGATAGGTTTCTAAATTAAAGACAAGAATATAATTCAAATATTCTTCACTATTAAAAATTTTTTTTAAAAAGTATAAGGTTAAAAAAAAACTACCTACAAAGATTTTTTGCAATTTAGACCACTTGATCCAAGTGTTTTTTAAATTATATCTCTATTAAAATAATAAATAATTAATTATATCCCTTCAAAAATAATATAATTAATCTGTAAAATTTTATATACTTAACAATTTAGGAACCTATTTTTATATATAACAAATGAAGTAATGTTAAAGGTGGTGAGAAGTGAATATCTTTTTGCATAAAGGTACTGCAGCCACTTTATACAGGTTTGCTTTAAGTTACAAAAAGGATTTGATATATCTATGCTTCAAGTATAATGAAAATGTTCTATAGGTAGAGTTCATATTGATTTTTTTAATGGTACTAAAACCTAACCTTATATAATAGACCTATATTGTTTAAGAGATAAGCAAGGAACTTTTGTTATCATTGTTAACTTGTTTTGAGGAGTAACTAGAATCTTTGATTGTTATATATTACTCTACTAAGTTTCCCAATTACTAATATAACACCTGTAACTAATCTAACTTATTGCTAGCTACATTGATATTGGTTGTTATTTCACTTTGAATATTGTGAAGTGCAACTTCTTGAGTACTTTTAAATAATAATAATTATACAAAGGTTTTTTGGATATATCTAATATAACCATCAATCAGTAAACAATGCTAAGTTTGGTAATAGTGATCATGTCAATTTTTTGGAGATGTAAATCATCTGTTCTTTTTTTGAGGAATTATGAAAAAAAAAAAATTTTCTAAAGTCACATTCTAAGAAAAGTTATTGCTTTTTAATATAGTCCTTGAAAAAAGAGAATCAACTGATCAGAAGAGTGATATTATAAAGACAAAGTTTTTAAAAGAAATAAAGGTTTAGAGAAAAAAACCTTCAAGAAAAAGTGAAAACCTAACTTTGGCAAAAAAAAAAAAAGAAAGAGGTGAATATAAAATATAAAAAAAGTATATAGAAAAAAAAGAAGAAAATAAGAAGAGGGAAATAAAGAGATATGAAAAGAGGAATATAAAAAGAAAAAGAGGAGGAAGACGAAAAAAAAAATAAACAACTTAAAAATTTTCCAAAAAGAAAATTTTCAAGTATAAAAAGGTGAATAGAAAAGAGTTTTTTTTTTTTACTAATTAAAATAGTTTATATATATATAACTTTTATTTTATTAATAATATCAATTTTTGAATTTAAATAAATTATTATTATTATATTTAAAAGTTGATATTAAAAAATATTAAAATCTTATTGATTTTATTTTCTAGAGTTTATACTGTTATAAATATCAAAGATTATTTAATAAAATATTAAATATAAATAATTTTATAAAATAAATAAAATTTTAATAATAAAGAAATTTTATATATTTAATTATAGTTATTAATTAATTTTAATTAATTACTAATAATAACTACATCTAAAATTTTTTTTATTATTATTGAAATTTACTTTCATGTATTAAGTAAAATTATTATTTAAATAAAATACATATATTATAATGTTTTTATTAAATTCGAATAAATATTTACTGTAAATACTTTAATATATACTTAATAAAATTTATTAATAGCAAATTGCTTATTAAAATAGTAGTTATAAAAATTGAGTGAGTATCAAAATTTTGACAAAAAATTAAAAAATTTTTGTTTAGAAAAAAAATCATTAAACACAATAATAAAAGTTTATCCGAATTTAATAAAACTTCATTATAGATGAAATTTTACATAAAAATCGTTTTTATTAATAAAATTATATAACAATTATTTTCAATTAATTATAATAATTTTTAAGTGATCTTTCATTTATTAGGGGAAACTGTAGGTACTTTCAATAGGTAAGCTTTCGGCTAAGTTATAAGTCTATGCTAAAACTTTAAGGCTACTCGATGACCTATGTTTTTTATTACCCTCGGTTGCTCATCACTTCTTCTCCAATAACCATACAATATATCCAAGGACTTTTTCCACATTGTCTTTGTACACAACGACCACTTGTTTCGATAGCCTAAACGATGGCTTTCCCTCACCATCGAGTGTACACTCCATAAAATATCATTGTCTTGCATCGGTAACGATTCCAAACACCTTGTCTACACCCTGCTCACTGTCTATTTCATCAGCTTTGCGTTTACGTCCTGTTAAGGATGACTCCATTTATACGATGTCTGCGAATCCCTTCATAAAATCGTCCTTCTCGACTTCTACTAAACAAACGATCCTATTAGTTGAACGAATAATCAAGGTTCACTCCGACCTTCGATAAGTTTTTCCGGTATGATTTTGAAATTATCCTCGTAGAATGAGACACCACTAGCTAAGTAACAGTAAGAATAAATAGATTTGGTTGCTTCATACGCCATGTCGAGGGTGTAGTTCTTTGTCGAAGTTTCAATTCGGTCATTAGGTTTCCAACAGCGGTTCGAGACTTTTCGCTTTTAAGTCTACACAACCACATAAAAAACAGGGTACACATCGATATTGGACTTGGGTCATCGCTAAGCCCATAGAGTTCACATACTTTCGGAAATGTCCACTTGTTGAATGGTTTCGAGGTAGTCTCAATGAATACATGAACTTGAAGGTTTTTTTGTAACTAGTGATTGTAATATCTATCCCCATCATTCATGAAGTTTAATACCGCTCCAAGTATGAAATCTTTAGACCTTATCACATTTTCGATATTCACTGTCCACTTGTCTGCTTCGGACTCACGATAACGTCGAATTCTGCAACACAATAGCTGAGTTAGTAAGAATCCCACGAAGTCTTTCAACCTTTCCCATTATTTTATACGTACCATATACGAACTTGTTAAGCAATGCCTGCAAAGATGCGATTTTTTCCATTAATTCCAATAACTCTTGACTCGAAGTGCTGGTGGAATCTGGTGAAGAAACAATAACGTGAATGTTCCTCTGAGGTGGCTTCTCAGTCTAGTAGACTTCTATGTCCCGGGTTGCGAGAAGTTCGATTTGATCCTGGAGTGAAAGATTGCTAATCTGATCGTCGTGATCGTCAGGGATTTCTACCTTCCATAACTTGAGCGTGTTTGCAGGGAAATTATCAAACTCCGGTGCCTTTTTCCTTGATAGTGTCCTTTAATTCACTAATAGGTTTATCTTAACTAAGAAAGTCAGCGAAGCGTGGTTAGTCACTTAAACGACTATTGATAAGTCACACCCAATTAAATCATAATTTTATAAAACCACGTGTACGTGACAATTTGTCACGCCGATCACTTTTCGATTGGCAAAAGGTTATCGTTCATATATGCGTCGTTTTAACACGACAGCATTATGACGTACTTTTATAACAAAAATATTTATGACATCTACTACATACATAAAAAATAATATTAGATGCGAAGCATTGATACAATCATCTCAGTTATTAATTAAAGTACGAGGCAGATACTATCTACTCTATTAGTTTATGTATTTCTTGAGCCTGACCCTCTTAAGGACTGGAGAATTATCAACGCAAATTCTATCCTTTAATAGCCCAACGATAATTCCGATTACCTCTTTCACATTTCTCCGGAGTACATTACCATTTTCTTTCATCTTGGTCTTTAAGAGGTTAATTTTGTATTCAACACGACTCGTGCAACATAGACCATTGGTGGCGTATATGAGGAAGTGCCAATCCGTGGCTAACATAGGGAAATGAGAGCTAATATTACACATCGATCATGAAAAATTCAACACAATACCTGAAACATCACTACCTGTTGAGACTATTCCATAAAGATAGTCGTAGTAGTCATCGCCCTCAAGTGCTTGATCCGACATTCGTTTTTTCCTGTTCATATGGTATGCACTTTCAAGCTGCTTAATATTTTGGAGATAACCTATTTTAATGTTACATGGTTTACCTTCAACGATACATATAAAGCCTTCCTTCCCCGTGATTGCATAGTCAACTCGTCCCGATGCTTCTTCGCCTGAAATATCCTCCTGCAGTGTTATAGCGATTTCTTCGTTGGTGAGCCTTCTTGCAATAGCAATTGACGCATGTAATATAGAAGCAATAAATTCACAGCGCGTGGTTTCATTGGCATCAGTCATTGTCTTTACATTCGCTAGTGTTAATTCTATGTCTTCCACGCAATGGTTGAGCGCCTTATCATTATCATCAACTTCCTCAAATGCTTTAAAAAATAAGTTAGCATTTTTAACTTTCCAGGATTTGAAAGATGCGCTTACTTGGGTTGAACTGCTTAATACTCATAATATCTTCACCATTAATCTTGTATTGTCGCAGCACTACTTTCAATTCTTCTACTGTTTTGTAGGACGAAAAACTTCGTTTTTTTTGTTCTGAAAGCTCTTCAACACTTACTTTCTTATTTTCCTTTCCTTTGCTCTTTTTGCCAGGCCTCTACAATAGTATGTAAGTTGCGAGTAAGGTCCTCATAACTGATTCCTCCTCTGGAATCTGTAAATGAACCAAATAGCAAGGTGTTGCGAGACGTGCCCGACACGGCATATAAGAAAGGGTTCTCATATGACTGGACGCTCCTCCCCGTAGCGCGCGGGTACAGGGCGTAGCACACGCTAACATTTGCACATTCCTGAGAGCATGTAAAAACAACTTACCTTTAGTCCACGCTTTAACGATAATGCTTTTTGTCTTTCCTTTGATTTTGGCTTTAAGTTATTGGCCAAAATTTCTAGTTCTTTTGCTAAAGCATTGCATGACCCCCGCTTTGTTGCCCTGGGAATTTTTTCATAGAAAAACTGCTTCCAGGTGTCCAGACTCCATTGTGAATATGATCTTTCCCAATAATCAGGATATCGAAGTTGACTCGAGACTTCTTTTGACAACATAAGGATATTGGGATAGAGAAAAAGTAACAGGGAAACAAAGGCATGGTTAGAAAACAAACAACGCGTTTTTTACACGTGTGACCTAATTATTCAAAAATCACGTGCGCTTTAAAATTCTTCACGCCGATCACTTTTCTCAGATAAGTACATGTAATCTGAAAGCAAGAATGGCAGTTCCTTTCCTGCTACTCACTATTATTTATCTTGCTATCTATCCAAGTACCTATTTTATTTAATGTTCTTCTGAAATTGCCGTCATTATTGTGATAAAAATTTTTTATTAATCTTTCCTACCTAGACCAAGAATTTTGTCAGATACATATCATCTAAAGAATAATCATTTATCATGATTCTATCGAAAATAATTTTAAATTGATTCCAGATTTCCGAAGTTATATCAGAGAATGTTCGTTTCTTCGATAGATTCAGTTCGTTGGATAATTGCATAGCGTTGACAAATTCCAGCAAAATTGGTATGGTAGATTTGAAGAACTTGTTCGATTTTCATCAAGTCTTGCAATAGAATTATTAAGCAACATAAAGATTCTTCGAGCCTCAGTAACAAACTTTTCGTCACGTGAGGTTGAATTTGGCATCGCGAGTTGTTTGACGACTTGTGTTACAAACCAAACACCGGCAAAAACCAAGTACTGCGTTTGAAAAGTCAATTGAAGACATTTTTTGTTAGTCAAATTGTCATGTTTTAAGAGTTTGAATGATTTGAGACGAGGCAACTATATTGCCTTACAAAAAATTAGTTTATTATTCTCGATTTTATAAATGGATTGGTACAAAGTGTCAAATTTTATTTTTGTCATTTTACTTATGGAACTTTGTTTATCCACCTTCAATGCTAGTTTATCGTTATATAGCTCGAAATGTCGGCTACTTTATTCTGTCTTGTCAAAGGAAACACATCCACGAACGCTTTCTCCGTTAAAATAAATAGGGATGAGCCTATTAGTGAGCTCAAAAAAGTTATCAAGGCGGAGCTCACCCACAGTTCGAGCCTGTTACGGTCAAAGACATCAAGTTGTGGAAGGTGGAAATTTCTGACGATCGCGATTCCGAGTTAGCGGACCCCAAATTAGCTGTCGAACTTCTGGCAACTCGAGACGTAGGAGATTACTGGACTGCATCACCAAAGCGACATATTCATGTTATAGTCGAGCCACCGGTGACAATCGCCAGTTCGAGCCGTGAACAGGAATTGCTTGACCAACTCGCCTTGTTCCCAATAAGTCTGTTCATGGTACGTATTTATATAAAAGTTTCTTGGCAAAAGCCGTTCCCTCAGGGAACGATTAGACTATTCTGAAAAAAGATTTTTACTATCAGCTGTTGTGTTGCAGAATTCGATGTTGTCGTAAGCCCGAAACGAACAAAGGGATTTAAGTGAACCGTAAATATCGAACAAGCAACCCTCGAGAATCTTAAGGAGAATATATATGCAACATATCAAACGCCTGCACTTGAAAATCCGTCTGTAGTATTTAACTTCGTGAATGATGGAGGGAGATATTTACCCAGGAACAATGACTCTTTCCATGAGATGTTGCGGTCGCTAGTATCAAAAAGTAACCATAAGTTCACAGTGTTCATTGAGACTCCCTCAAAGCCATTTAGCGAATGGACGT